GTAAGGTAATAGCGTTGGCTTGAGCCAATGTTGCGTTTATGCGGAGCAATTAAAGTACACTCCTTGCACCATGATCTGCAAAGCAGGCTCATGTGCTAAGGAGGAGAGTGTTGGATACAGTCTGCAAAACAGCACTGTTCCGTCCTTGTTATGATACACGTCTCAAAGCTCACGAAGCGATACCTCAGGATTGTGAGAGGCATCGAAGTCTGTTCGCATATATATATGTACATATAGACCCCCTTGGCCTTGCAGGCTTAGATTCTCGTTGCATGCGCCCGTGCTTGGCCACCCCTTCCCCACCACGAACGCTTCGGCCAGGCCCTTTGTCAGCGCCAAGCCCTCTAAACCCTAAACCCTAAACCAGAATCAATCACGCATCTAAAACTGAATCAAGCAGACCGCAAACTCCTCCAAACCCTACATCCTAAACCCAAAACTGTTCCTAAAGTGAACATTGAAGCGACAGCAGTTCGAACGCCGTCTCAAGCAAATTCGATTTGACGAATCAAAATTCTTGGCGCATTACATCTAAAAAATCACCCCTAAACCCTAAACCCCTGAACCCTAAACCCTAAACCCTAAACCCCTAAACCCTAAACCCTAAACCCCTAAACCCTAAACCCTAAAAAATCTAGAAACCCCACACCACCCAGATCCGAGTTCCTAATGATCCGTCCATAACTTGCCCAAGACTGCCCAAAAAAAACATATCCTGAATCCTAAAGCTACAAGATCCCAGAGCACAAACCAAAATCAGGAGACCCCAGCTGAATCATTTTTCGTATGCTTGGGAGAAAGATGGCTATCATTCTTGCGATTCTTCTTCATACTACGAGTATTGCTGACATGTTCATATGTTACTGTGCTGTTAGCAATGTTGCTGCAATTAATGACTACGACAACGACGTCGACTACGACGACGACTACTACTATTCTACTACTCTTGCTTCTTCTTCTTCCTCAGCAGATCGCAGCCTAAACCTCCAGGGCTCTAATTTGGGGGTTCCTTATAATGATTATAGTATAACCAGGGTTCAATGTTTAGGAGTTCAGGCTTTGAAGCCGGGATTCAAGAGGAGGAGCTCGGCTTCCTTGGCATCCTCACGCACCTGAGAGGCTTCTTGTTAGGGGTTCCTTTGAAGTTCTACAAGAGTTGCTTTAAGGGCTCCGTTTAAGCTTCCCTTTACGGGTTCTATACGGGTGTAGGGTTTAGGCCTGCGATAATGCTAGCTCGAAGGCCTTCTGTAGGGTCTGGGATCCAACTCCGAACTCTTGGCTCTGCGATGTACGGCATGGAACTCTGGAATTTGTCCACTTGTCTCGAGGCGGAAGAGCGAGGTCCTTGAACTGCTCGGACCAGTGGTCCCGCAAGGCAACGCGGCCTGCTATCGTCGCACTTACACTCAGAGCTCCAGTGTCCTAGCGACGGAGCTCTTCGGGGAAGCGCTTTTTGATTCCGCAACGGAAGGCCAAGACCAGCGCCGGCATGGCACAGCACGGCTTCAGGATCGGGGGTAGTGATGCCTGGTGACCGGGCCTGGATGCAGGGCTGCAGATTGAACTGGTGTTGAGGAGGGCCTGATGGGCACCTTGTACAACGGGATTTTCCTTGAGCTACAGCTTAGTCTGAGGGCTTTAGTTCAGTGTTTGGGGCGACTTGCGCCTCAAGAAAGGTGTTGATAAGGCTTGTTGAAAGCTTACCATGTGGAGGGGGCTGGGTATAGTTCAATGTTCACCACAATTTCGCCCAATAGCCCCTCGATGAAGAATTTCTGCGCCTAGAGCTGGAGAGGAATCCTTAATGCGCTTTATCCTTTACTTCAAGTTCTTAGTTCTTAAGGTTACAATACTCGAAGGGTTTATGTAATGGAAGGATCGAATAAAGCAGGGGGGTTACAGGTTTCGTGGGCCCCTTATCTAAGGAACATGCTTGCGAGGATCCTGCATCAGCAATATCGGAGACTCTGAACACAATTCAACGAGCTTCAGGCATAAAGGCTAGGTTTTGGATTTGAGTGGGCTTAGGAAGTTGACCGAAACCTTCGCTGTCGGTAGATTGCCGTTTCTTCTGAAGCTGTTGGATTACCCTACACCTCACACCCTATTACAGGGGGTCTGAGTTCATAGTGATAACATCCCCTTGTCAGCCCCATAGAAGTATACTGTAATAGCCCCTCAACCCAAACACTGTTCTGTTTCTGCAGGCTTCTTTAGATTTTACTGTCGGTGTTCAAGGCTGGACGAGTTTTGTGTAGACACGGGGAACCTCGTTTGCACAGACAAACCCTCTCAAACAGCCGCAGATTGTCAGCCGGGTTCTATTAAGCAAGGATAGCGCCAAAGTGAGAAACTTACAGCCCTGGTTATCAGCTGCATACCCATGTAGGGGCCTAAATACTTACTAGTACTATTTTGGGGGGTTCCTTATTATAATTGTAGTATAATGGGCCCCGAAAACCCTATTCTAATTACCAAGGCTCCTAATCCAGAGCCCTATCATAGATCGCTTATAGAACCCTTGAAGGAACCCTTTAAAGCAACCCTATTCCAATTGTTAAGGGTCCTATAATAAGTCCCCTGTTCCGCAAAGCATGGCACCTTGAAGTACGGGCAGACGTTTGCCTCCTCTTCGCGAGGGTCCGATGGGGCTCTTGGTAAAAGAAACACCTGCTAAGTTTAGGGCTTCGAGTTTAGGGTTTATTTTGCCATCATAGCGAGGGATACATGCGAAATGGCCTGATTATGGTCGTTGCTATAGCAAGCCATTCAATGACCTGCGAGCATTCGGGTTTAAGGTGAGGTATTCAGACATGACAGTCTTTGTGGTTTCGAGCGTGTAGGATGCGTCACGATTCTGTGTATCGGAATTAGGAGGCTTCGGCATCAAGCATCGATGTGTACTTCTGGCGCAGTGACTAACTTCCGACCGGCCGGTAGGTTGAAAAGCCTTCTCACCTGCCATCGGACAAGGACAAAGGCCTCGAGCACATGGCGGCAGCCGTGGCAGGTAGGCCGGGCCCCATAATTGAGGAATCATGACTGCTGTCCTCTTGTAAACAAGCAGACGGCATGCTGTTTAAATTCGTTCTTCTTCCACCCATGTCGAATTCAGGGCTGGGGCGAAGGAGTTAGGGGGTACGATCCAGGGTTCGGGAATTTGTTAAGTTGGGACTGGGGGTTGAGGAGCGGCAGGCTCCTTGCAGCTATGCACAATCTCCTCGATGTCCTTCAGCGCTGTCGACACCTGCAGTGGGCTCCACGCAAACGTCTGTGCAAGTGCTTATACTATTTACACATCAGAGAGAGCGAGGGAGGAAGCGAGGGCGAGAGAGAGAGAGAGAGCGAGCAAGATAGCGAAAGGGAGAGAAAGAGAGAGAGAGACAGAGAAAGAGAGAGAGACAGAGAGAGAGAGAGACGGAGAGAGCGAGAACAAAAAACATGCAAACAAGCAGGAAGTCGCTCAAGACGCGTCCATGCAGCGTCAAAGTTCGCACATGTAAGCAGGTATGAAAACACTAGCGGTACACAAGTCATTGCATGCATACATAGGCACATTACAAAGCGCATACATCATTTCGTGCATACATGCCCTTTGTGAGATGTGGCCATGCGTGCCCAGGTACGTTCATTCATAGCTATGCACACGCACATAAATCACCGCATGCGTACAGCCATGCATCCTAGCACTGAGACGTTCGGAGGCGCACTTGCATAATGTGTTGGTGCGTATACAACCATGTCTATACATGTATACATACATATATATATATATATATGTACATGCAGTATCATGTACAGATATACATATATATGTACAGAGGTATGTGTATATATATATATATGTATGCGTACACGCTGACAATCATATGCGTACAGTATGTCAGTTTGCATGTCTGTCTGTCTGCCTGCCTGTCTGTCCGTCCGTCTGTCCGTCTGCCCGTCTGCCCGTCTGTCCGTCTGTCGGTCCGTCCGTCCGAACATGCATACATGTAGACTTTGTAAGCATGTCCTGTTCTGGTCAGCTTGTTGGTCACCCTAAACTCCTGAACCCAAACCCCAAACCCTAAACCCCAAAACCCTAAACCCCAAAAAACTCTGAAACTAAATCCCAAAAACCCTAACCTAAACCCCAAAACCCCTAAAATCGTAGTATACCATAGCTCCAGGCCTTTGAGCCACACTTCCGGAAGCCGATGTGATAAGGGCATTTCTGCTCCTTGCTGCCCGGCAGGGCTTCGGGTTTAGGGTTTAGGGTTGAGGGTGTAGGGTGTATTGGGTTTAGGGTGTAGGGTTTAGGGTGTAGGGTTTAGAGTTTAGGGTGTAGGGTGGTGTAGGGTGTAGCCGTCTAGGGTGCTCTAGGGTGTCGGGTCAGAGTTTTAGGCTTAGGCATGAATCTGCTCTGATTCTTCCTTAGCTGGTTTGGGGGGTGTGCTACCTATACCGCATAGGCTTAGGAGTTTAGGGTTTCGGATTTAGGACTGTCAGGCTGGAGCCTGAGTTAGGGTTTGGGGTTTGGGGATCCGGGCCGCGTGGCCGCGGGAAGTTTCATGGCAAAGAAAGTAATGTAGGGGCCTGAATAATTTATCTAGAATAGGGCTTTGGGGTATATTATACTATAGCTATCATAAGGAACCCCCAAAATAGTATAGGTAATTATTAAAGCCCCTATAGTAGCTTCAGATAGGGTTTCGGCTTTGTCTAAGTAGGCCTCCCTCAATCACTGTCGAGAAGCATCTACGACCTTGCGGCACATGGCATTCTGACGTGCTCCGGTGTGGCGCGAGACGGACTGGTGGAGACAGAAATGCCTCAGCAGCAAGAGCATGTGCGGTTTTTGAGCCTTGGGGTTTAGGGTCATATTCCCACCCCGGCGTACATGTTCTACCAGGAGCTGCATGAGTTTGAGGCACAAACGGGGATTCGGATCGGATACAGCAAACAACAAATAACAACAACCATTTCTGACAGCACCTATGCCGTGTACCTTCTAGCACCATACCGACATACTAAACTGCTGTACTCTTGGTGACAGGAGCAGGCTTACTAAAGAATCAATGAGCCTAGGGTCGAGGGGTTTGGGGTTTAGGGTTTATAAACCCCAAACCCTAACACTGGTGTCTTGGCTGTCTTCTCTGCTGTGAGGGTTGGATGCCAAAGGTTAGCAACGAGTGGCCGACCGGCAAAGGTTGTAGTTTCGAGGGGTTACAGTACAGGGTGGATATATAGTAGGAAATATGCAACAATAGCAAAATGCATGGAACATCAATCGCAATGTTCCCAAATCGCGGCCGCGCTGCTGTCTGGAGCCCAGCACGACACTCCAGGGCTTGTAGCAGGTGCGCTTGAGCTCACTCATGACCTGCGGCCATCATACTGACCCCGTTCCTCCGGTCGAGGATGGCTACAGGTTTTCGGGGGTCGTAGCCAGAATGATTAAAGCCTCCCCCGAATCCGCAGCGGCGGCTAAATTTTGCCCAGCTCAACCGCTCTGCGCTACGTAGAGTAGGGCCTCCACACAGCAAAGCTACAACAACGTCGAAGAGCATGCGCGAGGGCTTGACACCCGGGTCGAAAATGGGTACAGGTGTTACCTGTTACCTCTCACAAGACTGCGCATAGGCCACGGATGCAAACAACCTCCGAATCACAAGAGCATGACAAGCTTCCGATAAAAAATTCAGAAGATACGATCAGTGAGAAAGCTCTTGAATTGAAAAGTGTGCCTTTGGGGTAAGTAGAAACCCATGGTTTGCATACGAAAAAAATCTCGAGGCTCGCGTATTCTGGCTTCCCTTCCATCTTCCACCCTCTCTGGCCGGAAATGTGCCTGCCGCAGCTGGGTGTGGGTCCTGAACAGGTGCGAGTCAAGCCAAGCGTTTTGGGTTGTAAGCCTGTAAGCTTGAGGGTGGCCAAGGTTCGAACACCCACACCTACAGAAAGTCGAATACCTCCTCCATTCGCAGCTCATACGAAACTTTTCAGCCAGAAAGCCCAAATGGTCATCGTCCCTAACCGGACGATGATTCCCAAAGACCCTTAACGCCTAAAGCCTAAAGCCCATGAAACAAAAAACAAAAGATATATGAGAGCTTCAACTCAAACCTGCCCTGCTGCCGAAAGACGTAAAAAAAGAAAAGAAAAAAAAACACGCCCAAAGGCTCCTGGATGCGTAGAAGATCCGTGGCACTGCCACCTTTGGGGCCGTCGCTTGCGCCTGTCGTGAAGGCAGCCGCTGGGAAGCTTCGAGGGACGGGCTCTGGGGTGGGGTTAGGGTTTAGGGTTTAGGGTGTAGGGTTTAGGGCTTAGGGCTTATATGGCTTCGGGTTTAGGGTTTGTCCCAAGTTGCTTTTTGTTGTTTTGGGTGTTTCGATAGCTTACCTTGGTTTCAAGGGTTTATAGCGGCTGCTGCTACCCATACCACCAGCACCACCACCACGCAACGAACGAACAACCCTACGCAATGAACGAACAACCCTACCCACAATGCGCCCACAACAATAGGGGTCCAGCGCTCGGAATAGAAAGGCGCAATGATGTCCGGAGTGGACGGTCTACGGCAGGGTCGACGGCTGCAGAGCCTGAGTGCTTCATGGTTTGGTTGCCTATAAGCCTCGAACCTGCGGCTTCCTCTTACTCTACATTCAGGCCGGCCACACTGCAAAAATTAGTTTACTAAAGTCTTCGATCGGTCAGCCTGAATCCTGAATCCACATACGAGGCAGCCCCAGGCGCGGCCGGGAGCCTGCCTTAGATTATACCAGAACCCCCTCGACAATCGAAGAAAAATAAAGCCTATGAAGCCCCGTTCAACTCAAACATCTGTCTAACAACCTGCGTACAACTCTCTGAAGGCGCTACAGAAATCATCGTGAAACCTACCCTAAACCCTAAACCCTAAACCCTAAACCCTAAACCCTAAACCCTAAACCCTAAACCCTAAACCCTAAACCCTAAACCCTGAACCCTGAACCCTGAACCAAACACCTGCTCCTAGTTTTTGCTTCTGGGGCCTCCCAGCTCGTCCGTGCTGCCGTCACCGCCTGGGGACTCACAGCTTTCCATGGCTTAAGGGTTCAGGGTTTAGGGTTTAGGGTTTAGGGTTTAGGGTTTAGGGTTTCGTTTGAAGGGTAGACTATACCGTTCTATTGGGTTTCTATGGGGGTTTATGAGGGTTCTGGGATATATGGTTTGTGACGGGGTTTTAGAGGGCTGATTTTTGTTACGCGGGTTCGTCAGAATGTGAGGGGGTGCGGATTTGAAGGTTTTCTATTAAAGGACTCTGATGCTGTAACTAAGGGTGTATACAGGGGGGTTCCTCAAAGCTTTTGGGTGCCTTGGCTCCTCATAGCACGGCTCTTAGTTGGGGTGTGATGCACGGCTCCCTACTTCAGCAACTCCCCAACTCCCATGCTCGAAGAGTCTACGACGAAAATTGTGCAGGCTTGTGGGATTGGGGGTTCACATGCTTACCTGAAGCCTAGAAGCTTTTGAAACCTTGAGAACGTTCGAGCTCAGAAACCCTAAATAGTGGAAGGAATGCCGGTTAAATCAGAAGATATGGAAAAGCCGCAAGAATTTCAGGCATGTTTCGTATGATCATGACAAGAAGCCCTATACTCTTTATCTGCTTCCGGCACGCCTGCTGGCGATGTCGCCGCCAGCCCAGCGCTGCGCAGAGTAGGCAAAGCCTCGAGATTTGCGTTTGATATTGAGTTCTTTCAAGGTTACGGTTTAGCTAGAGTCTAGAGCCCCACATACCTTTTATGGCAGCCCCTCTATACCTCTCAATAGCTTTTTGTTTAAGGGTTTTTACTTGAGAATACACCGGCTTTGATCCCTGTATTGCACAGAAAGATTGCAAGGACTTCTTGAGGTTTGGGCTTGAGGGCTGAGGTGTAAGCGGCGGCGTCACAAATCCCAATATCGAACTCGCCGCGCTTTTCGCACGAGCTTCGGGTGTTCGGTGTTGCCTTGATACGGTTTCAATCCTCAAAGCTCTATGGCGATAAATAGGGACCCTTATAGGAACCGTCATGTGTACTCTGCTCGCCTTTCTTCGCAGCGAAAACCCAAGGCACATCCTCTAAGTGCAGCATCGCTCTGTCACCCGCTGCGAGTGCTCCTGTGGCTTTTCCAGGCCATCCACCCTTCTCGACAACCGGGGGTTTCCAACCCTATAGTACAGTACCCCAAATAGTAGGATCCTTATTATGAGGTACCCCTAATTTTCGGAAACTCCCAACTCTTTGTGGGACACCCCAGCCGAAAAGAGGCCGACCTTCACGCCGATCTGAGGCCACTTCTTGACCAACTCGACGTAGGCCGGCAACGTGAGAACCTCGTCTGCGTGGTCACTCCGCCCCATGCGGCCTTTCACGCTGTGCATGTTGAGGCCTTCCGTGGAGATTCCGGAGCCGACCGTCCTCCAGGACATGAAGGCACTCTTGCAGGAAGGGGAAGTGCAGCGACGTGAGGTTCATGGTGAAGGACGAGGTGATCCAGGCTCACTCAGCGATTCCTTGTGCACGATCAGAGGTCTTCAGCAAGCAGCTTGCAGCGGGCATGCAAGAGAGTATCTCTAAAGTCATCGTGATTGAGGATTGCCATGTCGCCACCTTCCAAGCCTTCCTGGAGTTTCTGTACACTGATCGACTGCCGGAGGAGATCCTTCCGAAGGGGCCTGCAGGGAATGAGAGCGATGGTCCGAAGCTTCAGGAGCTCCTGGCCATCAGCCATAAGTATGAAGTGAAGCGACTTCAGCTCTGGTGTGAAGCGATGCTCTCAGAGACAATCGACACCGCGCAGGTTTGTAGCATCCTCTGCCAAGCCCACCTGTTGCTCCAGTTCGAACTTCACCGTGAGGGTGTCCTCTTGCACCCACTCGGATTTAAGCAGCTCTTCATGGCTCAGCCCAAAGATGCCCAGTGAAGCAGGAGGATGTGACGGAGAATGCACATCCGGGCCATATGCACAAAACGGGCTCTTGTTGCCTTGGTGGACCACGTCACACTTCTCGCGCCACGGCACGAATACCCCGTCCCGGGCCTTGATGCAGATGCGATACCGAAGTGCGATACGCTCCTTCGTGCTCAGGAATATGGCAAGTGAGCCTTGATACTGCTCCGAATGGCAAAGCCTGTGTGCCCACGGGCTGTAGTGAAGGAATACTGCCTCTTCGCCAAGACGTAAGCAGATCCTCACATGGCCATCGCCATGCTGCTCAAGCCCGCACTTCATCCAGGAAAAGCCTTCCAGTCTCCACACATACTCGGCCTTATGAACCACGTCATCGAAATTGGTGCGTACTGTATCACTCACAGTTTGTGAGCAAGTTCACATACCTCCCCGCTTATTTCATCCTTGTCAATACGGCGTCGTTTCGCGGTTTCAGCTTCAATGCTCTTCTCTGAGAGCCCCCGAATCCCAATCATCCTATCCAGCTGCTCCCTCAGCCTCTGCCGCTCCATGGCCTGTCGGGTCTCGGACTCGAGCTCTTGGAGCCTGGCCCTTTTTGCTACGATTTCTCGGCGCTCATCGACTCCTCGGCGGACATCGACCGCACGTCCATGGCAGAGGGCGGCGAAACCTCTGAGTTGACTCTAAGACACGACCCCCCCCCCCAAAAAAAAAAANNAAAAAAAAAAAAAAAAATCCCAAGTTCTCGGAGCCTCACAGCAAGATGCCGTCTCAGGAATCAGGAACCTTCGGGGCTGTTATGGGTGGACGACGACAGGCTGCGGCAGCATCGTTTGATCTCTTGGCCTCGCCTGGAAGCTAATGATTTAGGGTTTAGGGTTTAGGAATTATAAGCAACCTTAAGCCAGCACAGTGAAAGCAACATGCAGGAGGGATCGGTCTCATTGGCTGCATTCCCTCTAGCAGCCAACGACGCCTCCATTCACTTGCAAGCGAGCCCTGCGCCACCGGTTTCATCACACCTAGGGTAGTTCTACAGTATGTCTAGTGCTCAAACAATCACCTTCAAGTCAGGCTCATGAATAATGCTTAACCGTATCGGGGTTTCCGACAATAGGGGACCCTAATATAGCACCCTAAATAGTAGTATCCGTATTCTCATGACCCCTCAAAAAGGTACCACCCTTCTTTTCGGAAACTCCCATATCCCATAGACCTGACTGCCGTGAAAGCTGGGAGTTGCACGTCTTGCCCGTGCCGGTGGGCGACTCCAGCAGCGCGTTCCTTGCTGCTCGCGGGCTCATTTCCAACTTGCAGCAGGTTCGAGTTAATGCGATTAGAATAGGCTTTTGTGGGGGTTCCATTTTGTAGATATAGTACAATATACCTCAAACCTTATTTTAAGTATTAAGCCCCCTACATCAAGTCCACCTTGACGGTCTCCAGCCTTTTTAGCCTGCGGAATGATGGACATTCCAAGTGCTGGTGGTCACTCTACCCATAGGCCCCATAGTAGTTCCCTTTTGGGGTTCATATTTAGAATCCTATAATGTATAGTCCTAAAACGGACCTACTATGGGGCCTATGGGTACTGCTCTCTTCAACTCTCTCCACAAATCTGCTCCACACGTTGTGGCATTTGAGTTCATTCCTTCTAGATGCGAAGAAATGTAAACCACGCTAGGAAGCGGCATGTTTGCGACTTCACTCATCCTAGACCCCCAACCCTGAAAGCGATAAATCCTGGTAGGCGGTGTTAGACAGCAGTTGCGGCTGAGGTGCGACCCACCGTCCAGGGCTTTGACGACGGCTCGCATGTACTCCAGCTGGCAATCGTATGCCTGCAGGGGCACTAGGCCTACAAGCTCTAAGAAAGAGTGCTTACTGGGGTTGGGGGGGCACGGGCGGTATGCTAAACTTCGACTTTCTGATTGAACAGGCCCAAGCTGTCTGCATCGGGAGCTAAACTAGGAAAGAGGGTTTCGGAGTTTAGGGTTCAGGGTGAGTTTATGGTTTAAGGTTTCGAGTTCAGAGTCAAAGGATTACTGAGACTACTGCTGCGACAGAACACGCAGTAATGGGGCGAAGCTGATGATATAGAGATACAACTGGCCAGCGCTCCCAAGCCCCTTTGCCCAACTACCTGCAAACGCTCAAAATCCCTGACAAACCCCCTAATTGCATTCAGCTCTACTATCCTCTGCAAATCTGCGATGATGCCATACCCATAGGCCCCATAGTAGTTCCTTTTTGGGGATTACCTTATAGGATTCTAAATATGAGCCCCCAGAAGGAACTACTATGGGGCCTATGGGTATACCGTCTTGCTTGAGCTCCTTCAAGGCCCAACTTGCTTCGTAACAAGAGCCTCCAAGCAAGAACCCAGAGCCGAACCCTCTATGGTTTAGGGTTTAGGGTTTAGGGTGTAGGGTTTAGGGTTTAGGGTTTAGGGTTTTAGGGTTTTTGGGTTTAGGGTTTAGGGACTATATCTCTACTCAAAACGCCATCAAGACCCTAAGAAACTCATGCTGATCATGTTTATAGGGCTTTAAAACCCACTAAACCCTAAACCCATGTTAAGGCCACGTATTTCCACAACCTTTATAGCAACCCTTAAGCCGCCTCGTAGGGAAAATCCACCTGGACGCCATCGACATCGTAGGTCGGCATGGCGGACGTTGGGTTCTGCGCTGTTCTTCAAAAAGGGTTTAGGGGTTTAGGGTTTAGGGTTTAGGGTTTAGGGTTTAGGGAGCTGTCAGTAAGATAGGGGCCTTAATAATTAGCATGGGGTTTTGGGGCCCCATATACTATAACTCAAATAAGGAACCCTCCACGAATAGTATTGGAAAGTTTTTATTTAAGCCCCTATATCCTCGCGGCAGCGTGTTCAGGGCCCCTCGGCGCTTCGCAACCAAGGCTTGACCTGGAGGCTTTAGGGGTTTTCGGGCTTAGGTTTAGGGAGAAGCACATATAGGTAGGCCATGCCCAGTCGGAGGTCGCAACGGAAGGCATGATATTAACGGCTTAGGGCTTAGGGTTTAGGGTTTAGGGTTTGATATGGAAGGAGCGAAGCACTACTACTGGGCCAAGCTCTGCGCAAGAAACTACATATCTGCTGCCAACCGCACTAACCCTAAACCCCAAACCTATAATTTTTAAACCGTTAACCCTACACTCTGTATAGTTACCCAAAAGCAATCCGCAATTAGTCCCTTTCTGCACGACGCTGGCTTTTTTTTGTGGGCTACACAGGGCCATTGAAACTGGAATACATTGACACCCGGCTCAGGAAACCCATAACGTACAAAAGAAGTCTCAAGAGTTTCGGGTTTAGGGTTTAGGGTTCAATTATAAGAGGTCCCTCGAAACCCTAGGTAAGTGATGCTGCTTGTCTGGCATGTTTCTCCATTCCGATCCCCCAGACGCCTCTTCTTCCAGGGTTCCGTATTCCGAGTTTCTAAGAATCAGCTTATGCAGAAAAAGAGTTCAACTATTTGAGTCGGCAACTTGGGGCTGGGTACTTTCGGTGTTTTTGGCGTGGCCAACATGTCGACTTAGAGCTTGGAAAACTTGGGGCTCAGGGTTTTTTCAAGCTGCAGGGTTTGAAGGGTCGCATGCTACTGAAGGCCCACGATACCAGGATCCTTCATGTAAGGAGCCCTCAGACGGGAACACTTCGGGAACCCTGATACCATACATCAAACCACACTTTAGATGGACTCTCATGCCAGTGTGGAATCTCTAAACGGACCTTTGTGGACGCCTTAAATTTTTGGAACCCTTGTGCAGCAGAACGGTCGCTTCTTCGCGATAGCTTTCCAGGTTTCGCTTCACGCAATGTGGCGCCGTCTTGGCAGCCTCACCGGCGTCCTCTGCAATCACTATATTGGAAGCGGGGGGTGAGGGGGCTAAAGGTTCTTTTCTTGCTAGTATTGGGAACTTGCTTTTCAATCCTCTTATGTAACGAGAGCCCAACTATCTATCACAGTCTTGGGCTCTATGTGTGTGTGTATGTGTGTCTGTATACCTATATATGCGCGCACGGTCACACATATTTCACGCAATGTGTATATATACTCACACACACACACACACTCACACAAACACACGCCATTTACAGTAGGGCTGCCTGTAGGTTAGACGTGACATAGTATCCATCACAACTCCGGTGTGCAAATAATATAGGGGCCTTAAAAGTTAGAACAAGCTTTGGGGTACGGTATATATACTATAACTATAATGCGGACCCCCCCCCAAAAAAAAAAAAAACTATTCTAATGAATTACTAAGGGTCCCTATACTATATTACTTTTTACACTAGTACAACATTGTGAAGCTCCTGTAGGTTTTTCGGTTCTGCAGGTGGGTTCTCCTGTGAAAAGAGTTGAACTTCTCCTGTGCAACAGGAGAGATCAAGTGTCGAATCATCCTGTGTTAGGGTTTAGGGTTTAGGGTTTAAGGTTTAGGGTTTAGGGTTTAGGGTTTAGGGTTTAGGGTATAAGAGGATCCCTAATATGATTTAAGGTATATTCCTGAATTAAGGGATATTGGAGACT